GCTAGTGAACTGAGTATGCTAAACACTTGCAAATAATTGATCCACCATTCTCTGTTTGAGGGGAAAAAAGTTTCCCAAAAGATAGGCAGGTAGAGTAGGTTATATTCAGTAGGTGTCTTATAAAATGCTAAAACCAAGACTTAGTTTAAGCTTCCATGGGTTTACCTAGCGGAGTGTTCCAGTCATTTTTTGTGTAGTCTTCTTTCAGATAAACTTTCAGAACGTATGAATCTTCCTAATGAAAGAGACTAATCAGGCCTTCACTTTTCAAAGGGATTGTAATTTTCCATCACTCAAAGCCTCATGCACACCTCTTCTTTTCTCAGAATTAACTGCATTTTACTCTTCTTTTTGCTGCCTATCCATACTTTTTACAACTTTTATGAATTATTTCAGGCCTCTTTTCAGCCACAGAAGAATGTAGTGCTTTTGGCAGCTGCTGAAGAATTTCTCTGACAAAACAAAAAATATTCATTTCTCATTTTCCTTCATGAAAATGCAAAGTTTTTTTGTAAGAGACTGCGGTTGTTTTTTGATGCTTGCTTCAAGGAAAACTAAAATTAAACGTCTTCAGAATTTCCATTTACTTTTTAATTTCCCTTCCCCCTGGTCTTGAGCGGTATCTTTATTATTTCATTTGAAAGCTTGAATGTAATATTAATATTGCTGATAATTCATTCTGTGCAACAATATTTTTAAAACAAATTTATTTAAGGGGGATGTGTGTGTAAAAGTTACATACATGCACACGCATTTTTCCTGTTTGCTTATGATTAAGATCTAATGGTATGGGTTGGAATTAGGTTCTTTTCAGGTATGGGTTGGAATTAGGTTCTTTTCAGGTATGGGTTGGAATTAGGTTCTTTTCAGGTATGGGTTGGAATTAGGTTCTTTTCAGGTTGTATAACTAGCAGTTGAAATCATAGCCTTCAGTGTTACTGATTCTGAATGATGTGTGCAAATAGTTGTTTATTTGCATTCATACTTATGTTCATGCATCTACTTTTCTTAATTTCCTTCTGTTCCATTTAAGAGCTTTCACCAATATTGCTTTCCATATTTTTTGCATCTCTTCACTTCTTAAACTTGAACTCTCTTTAAACACAGGAATTAAAACTGTTCCTTTCTGCCTGGTTCACAGTCACCTCTTAGAACAGTATTATATTTACCCCTGATTTGGGTGGAAAAGAAATTTATCAAACCAGGTTTTTCTATCCAACTGCTATAATATACTTGCTTTTAGTTTAATAATTGCAAATACTGTCAAAAAATTCTGCAGCTGAAGAGAAATGTGTTCATGAAATCATGTCTAACAACAACAAAAGGAAAAAAATGAAAAACTAGCATTTTCCTCTAAAGTATTGGAATTATCTGCAAAAAAATAGTTTTTCTATTTGCTTGCTTATTTTTAAGAACAAGATGTGTGTTTAATCTTCAGCAATTTTTTTTTTGTTGTTTTTAGAGTATGAAGATGGTGATCTGTCATCCTGGATAAACAGAGAAAGATTTCAGGGTTATCTTCATGTAGATGGCTTTACATTGTATGAACTTGGAGATACAGGTGGGAAGCTGCTGTCATTGAACTCTTCTGCATCTTTTAAATGACCGTTAATTTTGGTTAGTGTTTAAAAACGTACTTTAAAACCCCAAAGTTAGTTAATCTGGTAGGGTTGATAGTGTCTACTGATGTTTGAGTTGGTGGAACCTTTTCTATTGATTGGTGGCTTCATCCAAAGCCCACAGTAATCCTTTCTTTGCAACATGCAACTTTGGTCCTGTAAAAGTCACCAAAAAGTGAGTGGGGCTTTTCATTTAAGATTGCAAAACTTAATATATTAAGTCCTTGAAAACCTACCAGGATTTTTTATGATTGATTTGAAAGATTTAAATAAGGAGCTTACATGTGCCTAATGGTTTCAGATCTCTTTGGAATGGGTATGGTGAGGAAAGGAGAAGAATATGTACCAAAGTGGACCCATTTCTTTAGCTTTTCTCTAATAAAATTTTGCAAGTCAAATGAAAACTTCACAACCAAGTAATTTCTGGCAAATGACTTGTTCTACTTTTAAAGGTGTATGTTCACCAAAGTAGCAGAAGCTACTTCAAGAAATGAATCCTGAAAAGATCAGTATGTTCTGATGTTTGGTCTTTATTACGTTCTTTGAAATTATTTGATGAATCTGTGTGCTGGGTCTTACAAAAGCTAAGCTCCTCTGACAAAGGACTGAGCTAGGAGGCTGTCTTTCTAATTTAATGTATTCTTGTCTCTGCCACTAAATTCTTACCTTTTCTTCCTGTAAAGATACTACTACAAATATTTAAGAACATTGAACAAAAATAGGAGGTGTTGAATCAACATAACTGTGGTTGGATTACTTTGAACCAGTTTGTAATTGCCGTTATGTAGTAGTTTTTCATAGTATCATATGTATTATATGCAAATACACAGCTTGAACAGACAGCTGTGTATTTGTCCATACTTTTTCCCTTTATCTTCTTTCTACAGATACGCTTCTCATAGAGCACAAAGGATGTTGCATTAAGTCACATATTAATTTGCTTTGAGTAGTTTAAGAAAATCAGAACTTGGGTAGCTAAAAGAGATTATTTTCCATCCAGATTGGTTTATACTTACTTCTAACGTGGGAGATCAAACAGGATAAGTTTTATTTTCCGTAAGAGAATGTATGTATATTTTTTAAAGTGTTTTTAAGGTATTTTATTCCTTATTTTAGGAAAACTTGTGGCTATTGCAGTCATTGATGATAAAAACTCTTCAGTGGAACATACCAGGTACAGAAATGAGTATTGGTGACACTGGGAGAGAAATATGCTTATATGGTAGGAAACTTTATTGACATATAGAATTTTGGAAGTTTCCTGAAACTCTTTAACTATTTGGAAATGATGGGCTAAATGAAAGGTTTTAACTTGTGTATATGGCAGTATTGAAGCCCATGTGAGTTTTCAGTGAGAGTTTTTGATGGGAGTTTCTGTATTGGTCTTCTCACATTTGTCACTTATGAGATCACAGGAGGAAATAAGCATCTTTGATCTTCGTGACAGTAAATGAGTGTCTTTTTAAAGCTCTTATGTTACCTTTTTAATACAGAAAAGAGTACTTGAGTTCAAAAAACTGAGATAAGCTTAAACAGAAGATTGTTCTTCAGTTGTGTTAAAATTAATTTAGTGATGCTTAGTTTTTAGTTGTCTGCGGAACAAGGTGTTTTGTGTTAGTGGAATTGGGAAATTGATAAGATACTAGTTGCTGCTTATTACAGAAATCTAGATGTCCGTTGTTTGGATTTTGATGGAGTATGCGCTGCATATCAGTGTGACTTCTTTTTTTCTCCCTCTCCAGACTAAAATCTATTATTCAGGAAGTTGCTAGAGATTATCGGGACCATTTTCACAGGTATGCCTATGTGGTACCACAGCATTTTTAACTGAACTTCAGCATTTACCTTTCTAAGACAACAGTCCTTTTTGATGTAAAAATAATGTTATGGTGTTTACCTTGTTATTGATCTGCTAATGTTAATACCATTTCATTCATTCATAAGACAATTTCATTAGTCATGTTTTAGAAGGCCATCTATTCTGTAGTCTGGTCAGTTTTTCAAAGTATATTGGGTATTCCGCATGTGCTGTCATCTTCACTTGTAAGAAAAGTATTTAAGGAAGGACTTTTGATACTGAAACCCGTTATTCTGTTTTTTGTTTCATGATTATGGTTTTCACTGCATCTCTGGCAGGGATTTCCAGTTTGGCCATATGGATGGAAATGATTACATTAATAGCTTATTAATGGAGTAAGTAAATTCTTATTTGAGTATTACTTCTTTTCTTGTACTTGTCACTAATTATATTTAAATTTAAAAAAAAAAAAAAGACCTTCTGAAGTATTCCTGCTTTTCATGGATTGGGGAAAAAAAAAAAAAAGATTGCTGTTCTCGAAAGTCAGCATGTAACGTAACAGTTGTTTGTCAAACTAAAACTGCTCAATTTAATATTAGAAGTTTGGCTTACTGTAAAAGAATGGCCTTGTCAGTCATCACTTAAGTTTTCTTTGTTAAATTAATTTTTTTACTTTACAAGGCATTTAAAAATTAGAAATTGCTACAGTTTGTAACAGAAAATATAAATAATGTTTATGTATTATCTGTTTTTATTCGTTTCTGGAGAGACATGTTTTATTCCTATTGACACTTATTTAAGACTGATGCTCGTTTCAAGTGGCTGTTACTTCGTTAGCCCTGTTTTTCTCAGGAAAGCAGCTGAACAGCAAAGTACGGTGATTACCTGAGATTTTATAAGACCTCTTTGTAAGAACAGAGGTAGATATCAATTAGTATTTTAAAAAGTGATTTTTGGAGAGGAAGGGATACGTTAATTAGCAGATCACCTAAATTCCTGATTTCACCATGAATTTGAATGTTAAAATGTGCAGAAGTATGCTTCTGTTAGAAGTGGTATAAAAATACCTAGAAGATGTTGTCTGCACTTGACCCAAGAAATGTAGTACGCTTTTGAAATATGTAAATTGTTTAACAAGATGCCCACCATCTGCCCTTATTGTGATCTTTGTTTAAAAATACATAATTAAAGGTTTAGGTTGCTTGGCATTTACAGGTGACTACTTTTTCTCTTCTGGCTTTTTGGGTTAAGAAAGGGAGAAACAGAAATAAGTGTGCCAGCTCTGTAAGGGCAGAGTTGATCAAACCCTTCTGGGGATCCTGAGACTCTGCACTGGTATGCAGTATCTCTGTTAAACAGTATCCATTCCCTCATATTTGGCTTTGCAGTTGTCACCCTTTCTGGATCTAAGACCACAGGAAGACTATAAGGTCAAATTAACAAAGGCGGATAGATCTGCAAATATTACACTTTAAAACTGTGCAAATGTGTTTGTGCTACTAGAAGTTCTGGGAACTTCATGGAGGCACTGGAATATATTTCTATGGATTGCCTGTAGATTAGTAACTGAATAGAAGTAATCTGAAAATGACTGTGTTGCAGTTGAAGTGAAACAGTGTGATTGAGCTAATGATTTTATAGCTGCCAAAAGTAGGACCTTCCTCCCTTTGTTGTTGCCTGTTTTGTGTAGGCTTTTATAATTGTCTGACTGTATGCAGAGCGGTTTAAGACTGTTTTATCCAGACAGAAGTGTTGACTTTTTTTGGATAGGAGAGTAGGGGAGTTACTTTGCTAATCTAGCAGAAAAGTAAATGTCTTCCTGTGTATTCTACTGAGTACAAGAACTGATATGTGAAGAAAGAGGACAGGGGGATGAGATCCCTAGGAAGGAGCAAAAGAAGGGGAAAAAGACAAAAGTGCCGTTTATAACAGTAGTGATTTGGTGGCAATTTCTACGTCTGTTGAACTCATTTGTTTAGCTTCACTCTCCAAAACGCCTGATTTTATAAATTGTAATATATAGAAATTTTTATTAAACTATTCAGAGGCTTCAGATTTATTTCATAAGCAAAATGTATGTGTTTCCAGGATAAGTGGAAATCAGCAAAATATGTTCATGATACAGGTAGGAGTTCTTGTGTTATTTGAATAAAACTATTTTCATTGCTTCGGTTTCCCACTAGATGGCAGCAACTGGAAACGAGCAAAACAACCTCTTGGAAAATGAAAAATCTGTTGCTCTATGTGTGTATATATGTTTGTGTGTGTGTATATATGTATACACACACATTTTAACTGTAGTAAATACGCAGGGGAACAGATTCTGCTCCTTGTCAAAGGACGAAATAGTATATGATTTATGGAGACAGTTGTATTAGTCCTTGATAGAAGTACAATTATGGCTGGGGCTGTAACTAATAGATATTGTCATCTAAATGTCTCTTCAGCAGTGGAGGAACATGCTTTTGTTGGTTTAAAAATGATATTGCTGAAAGCTATGTGTAGAAGAAGCAAACAGTGTACTACTTATATTATTGAAAACAAAAAATATATTTTTGTGGAAGCTAGCCTGTTTAGCATCATTGGAAATTGAACTGTACATCTCCGTGGACTATTAACTTCTCAGCTCTTGGAAGAAACAAATCAAGCAAATGTTTTTGTGACTCTTTATATAGCATATAAAATTTGTAGGTGGAGTTCATCTTTTGGTAGCTCTACAGAAAGTTGAGAAGACTCCAAGAACCTCAGTTACCGTACTGGTAAATGCAATCAAAACACTTTGTGTGTGGGGGGGGAGGTTTAACTGCCTAGCATTAATTTCTGTTCCTTACCTTGATAAGGAACAAATAATAAAACGTGTTGTATTTTGGCTAGGATGAGGTATTATGGCCAATGTTGTTAAATTCTTACCAGGTGCTTGCACATACACCTGATTTAGTTTGGCTCCTGCCTATATGTCTTGTTTGTTGCTGATGAGTAGAGAATATAAATGTCTAGAGAAAAGTTGTATTTAAAAAAATTTATGTTGAAAGCTTTCACGGCTGACAAAGTTTTTTTGCTTTTTTTTTTAATCCATTTGAAAGGATGAAATTTTGTTATTTCTATAGTTGGTCTTACCTTTTTTGAGATACACTGTGCTTTCAGTTTGAGAGTTATGAACTTGATCTGCACAGTAGATCTTAAGTATTAAGCTTCTTAGGAGTTTAGAAAACTTTTGTACAGCAGTATTAAAATTTTACATTTACAGGTTTGGAATTGAAATTTTAAAATCCTGAAATTTGTGAGAAGATTTTGAATCATTTCTATGGCTTCAAGAAAAATGGAAGTCTTGAGTAATTATTTAACTAAAAATATTTTAATGAAATAGTTGATTATGGGCTCCAATTGCCACAGTTAAGGTTAAAGTCATCAGTATTAGATACGTTAAGTATGTATAAATGTGTCACTGTTAGACAAGAGTGAAGAGTAAAAAAAAGAAGTTTACATTTCTTTTACTATGAAGGAAAGACACCTAATATCTTAATGTATTTTAGATCTTGTTTGTTGACTTAAGCGGTATTAAATTTTTCTAAGCAGTCTCTAACTTTGAAGTTGGTTCAACTTTGAGTCATACATTGGACTATTTTATCTCAAGAGGTCACTTCCAACTTAAATTTTTCTATTTCTGTGATCCTAAAGAAAGTTTAGGCATGTGAAGTTCAACTAATGAAACCTAATTTAAAAATTACTTGCAGCTGATCTGCTACGTGTAAAAGAAATGTACTAAAACTTCAGTTGGTATATCTTTTTTTCGTATTTTTTTTTTTTTTTTTTTTTTACCTTGATAGGTAGAGGTTAATTGATAGAGCTGATCAGTAGTTGGATGATGGCTGTATGAGATTGCATTTTTGGATTATAGTTTAGCCTTTGTGCTCTAAAGCATTTCTTGTGTGTACTAATAGTACATTTCAATTAGACAACTACTATCCAAAGTATTTTACTAATTGCCAAATCACTAGTTAACTGATTTGCAGTCAGTTTAAGTGTATAAAATGCAGTAGGCTTAAGTAACTTCACTGACACAGATGTGAAGGAAAAAATCCTAATGAAAAACACACTTGCACCATTGAGGTGATTCTCTTTCCCCTTCCTTTGTGCCACGGCCACTTTTTTAAGCGTACATATGAAGAGAAGATTAATGGACACACTTTTAAACAATATAGGAGACATTTGATTTATAATGTTTTGTGCAGTATTTCTGTAAATATCTAACACTTGTTTTATGTTTTCAGTGACTTGACAATCCCTACTATTGTGGTATTGAATACCTCCAATCAGCAGTACTTTTTGCCAGATAGGCATATTGAGAACACAGAAGACATGGTTCAATTTATTAACAATATCTTGGATGGTACAGCTGAAGTAAGTCTTCAATGTGACATGGAACGTACTGGTTGATGTTTATTTCCTTAGATATTAAAGCGGGGAAAAAATAATTTGGTTACCCTACATTGCTATGCAGCGTGCATTATCTTTGTCTCTTCATGATGTGTTGTCAGTGAATGCTGTGATTCTTGAGGTGAGCATTTGCTCACACTTCTGATTTCAGAACCTCCGAAAGAAGATTTTTGTTTTACACTCTGTTTTTCCGCATGTAGCTTAATGTTAGGTCCTTTTTATTGTAGTCACTGGTAAATGGAGAGGGTTTTTTATCCTTTTTGTGCTTTACTTTAAATGCACTTGTTTAAAATTGCAATTTAATCTCTTACTTTGAATGCATAATTTAACTCCACTCTTTCTTTTTTGGGGTGAATTAATAAATCCAGTGGCTTGATGAGTGATAGGTTCAGATCCAAAAGCCAGTGGTATGTTTGCATTGCATGTTTCAGATAGATATGAAGTTACCTCTCTTTCTGCTCTAAACCTGAAAATGAGCTCTTTGTTGCAACAGAACAAAAATATTAAAGCCATGTGGAATTGATGGCTTGCATACCTTTTTTTAACCTTGGTAAAACAAACTCATATTCACTTATGCCCGCAGTGTGCAGTAAGATGGGCAGAGAGCTGTGTTGTGTAGATGACCACCACCACCATGGATCAGAGGCTTCCTTTGTACTTATGGGACAAGAGGGCTTTGCAACTAAGGGAGGCAGTGCTAGCAAAACACTTGCTCTGCCTTTTGGGAGAAGCCTATGTTGAAATGTTTGGTTTGAGCCTCAGATTACTTTATCGTGAATGTTTACTGTGTTAGCTGAATCCTGGATTATATTCCAGCAGCGATTTTAGGTGATTGGGGCAATAAGTAAGACTCTAGAACATTTCAGTTGTATGGGATGCTTTTATTTAATCTAACAAATTTATGTAGCAGAGTATAATATAAATTGATCTGCTTACTGTTCATGAATTTACTGGCTATGCTTCTAGTTGAAAGGCAAGAGGTGTTCCTGTAACTTGATGGTTCGTTGTTCTTCAGTTCTCACTTCTTTAATGCTCATTTCTTTCATTGTGTTTTAAAATCCTGAATTGTTATTATTATCTACTCTTCTGTATTTAAATATCCTCCCTGAAGCACCAAGTAAAATTGATTTCTGTCTGCTTTTTAACTTTGAGAAATTCTTTTTTTGTGATGCATTGCATTTTGTCATAGTATCACTCATGCCTTTGTACTTTTTGTTTACAGTATTTCAACTAGAATGACTAAAGGTCTATCTGGATGCACATCTGTCTTAGCCCTATCACATAAGTATGAAATACAATATGTGATGTCCTTTAAGCTAAATGGAGCCTATATATATATAAAATGACATTACTTTGGCTACTTTCAGGCCCAACAAATTGTGTAACTGTTAAGGAATGGCAGTCTTAAATATCCAGGTAAAGAAGGGAGGGAATAGAGACTTTCTGAACCATAGTGAAATTTCAAGGGGAGGGGAGTATAACTCTTTTTTTTCCCCTCTCCTCCCTCTTCCTTGATAAGTTTTAGATAATTCACCTTCACTTTTTTATTTTCTTTGTGATTCAACGCAGCTTTCTTCAAATCTGTCTCATCCTTATGGACTTGTTTGGTAATTTGGGGGATTTTGATCAGGATTAAGTGTTGATAAGTTGACTTTCTCCGAAGTGTAGCTTTTCAGGCCATTTGTTCCTCTAGCAACTCAGACCAGTGAAGACTGGGCCTGTTCAAGAGACAAATCGCCTTTGAATACCCATAGTATTTTGAAGGCTTTTCTAAATTAGGTAGTAACATAGGTGTAGAGTGTAGTTATTCAACACAAGCTTTGTTTGTTATACCTACATATCCTCTTGTTACTCAGTTCTTAAATTTTCCCAGCAGCTGCAGTCGTAGTTTTTAAATAGATATCCGTTACCTGAAGGAAAATTCAGGTGATCTTGTTGCAATTTTATAATTTTTACAGATAGACACCTGGTAGTTTCTGTTAATGTTTCTCTGTGGTAAGAGATGATAAAGACTGCCTGTTCACTGTTAAAGTTGACATTACTTGCTCTAAACTGTTGAGAGCGTTTTTCAGGCGGCTATTGAAACACTTGTCCGTGCTTGAGAAGTTGGAGTGTCTGAGCATCATGAGATGCAAGAATAATTACTTTTCATTTCCTTCTAAAGGGACTTAAGATTGCAAGGTCTGAAGAACGAACTTTTGGCATCCTAACTAAAAAGTGTCAACAGTTTTGACATGGTTCCCTTTGAAATTTCAGGCACAGGGTGGTGATGGAGTTCTGCAACGAATCAAGAGAATAATCTATGATGCCAAGTCCACTGTAGTTGTAAGTGTTTTTTTTTTTTTCTTAGTTAACATAGTAGCATTGCCAGTCAAATTGCACATCTTTTCAGAGGATTTAGAAGCACTTTTATCTAAGATTTTGAGTTCTGTTTTTTGTTTTTATACATACATACATGTGTATGTATGTATGCATATGAATATAGTAAACTTAAGCCTAATAAACCTATCTCGATTAACGCTTTAAATAATATTTTACAATGTGCTAACTGTTCAATATGTGTATAGTCAAAACCACAGTCTCTGTCTTCTATTTTTGCTCCTTTCCAGTTTTAAAACTTGCCATATATTTTAAGGGATAGAACATGGAGAATTCAAAATCTTTTCCTTGACGCTTTTCGCTTCGTTTAACTGAAAATGATAGCACATCTGCATTCTGAGAAATGTTATGGTTTCACCTTGTTAGGGCATAAGCAATTTATTTAGTGCAGTTTTAAAGAGATTTTTGTCATCATCCTTATAGTTTAACTATGCTTAACAGAATTTTATTTGGGACACGTAAATAAATCCATTTCTTCACTTGTCCTAGACAAACCAAAAACTTCTGCAGTGAGTTTAAGTTGGAACATGCATGTTTCTGTATACGTGGCTTCCAAACTTTTGTGAGTGTGCTGCTTTTAGCCATCAGTTTCTAAAAATCAAAAGTCCCTCCCTATCTGCCATATAACCTGTTGATTACAGTTTAGTAGAAAGCTCTATAGTGGAATGCTTTTGATGCCTTATGATGACTCAAACTAATAAAATTTTGGTCTACACAAATGAGAACTAACATTATTATTTCAATACTAATAGATCAGTTATTTCTCAAACTTACAGTTGGCATATCATTCACCATCCTGGTGGAATACTTTATAAGAAGTCTCAGAATTTCTAATATTAAACTTAACATTAGAATGATATGATGATTCCTACTCCCTGTTTCTGAATAAACAGTCATGAGAGAATTTATGTGGCAACTTTGCTTATTCACTAGAAGGGTTTTTGACTTCCAATTTTTGTTCCAACAGTCTGTGTTCAAGAGTTCACCGCTTCTGGGATGCTTTCTCTTTGGATTGCCCCTGGGAGTCATCAGCATTATGTGTTATGGAATCTGCACAGCTGATACAGATGGAGGAATGGATGAAAATGAGGCAACTAAGAAGGAAAATGGTGATCGGGAGCTCACAGATGAAGGCAGTGAGGAAGAACAAGAGGAAGAGAAGAATGAAAACTATACAGAACTTTCAGATGGAGAGCTTAAACAGAAAAACATATTGGAAAAGAAAAAAGACTGAATTGTTTAGCAAAAGAATTCTCTAGAATTTCCAAATAGACTTATTTATTGAAGGTAGTCATTTATTGATGATCTTCATGAAAGAGGACCTTTTTGTCTGCATTATGGTAGTTTTGACTTGCATGTATTCAATTCTTTTCAAATATTCACAGGAAAAATGAAATTGGAAGTTCTCTTAATTGTCTGTAATAGATTGTCAGAGAAGTGTAAGCCGAAGGAATTTGCAGGTAAGACTCTGCTATTTTTTTGGAAGAGTTTTTTGAAATGTGCATTAGAACGGTGAAATAAAGATGACACTGCTTGACTTTAGTGTATGTGATGAACTACTAATAATTTAGCCAGCTAAACACTCATTTATGTAAAATTAAGGCTTGAAACCAAGGAAGATTGAGAGATATGCAAAGTCTTTCAGAGGCTGATAGCTAAAGACAGCTTAGTTTTCCAAAAAGTCACTTATTTTACTTGTTGCACATTATTTTGGAATAAATATTTTTTAAAAAAAAATTATATAAAGTTAAAAGTAAATTGTTATGAATTAGAGGACTGTTTTATCATGTAATAATATAATTACTGGCAGTTGAGAATGTCTGCTTGATAGAGGAAGTGGGTGGGAGTTATATGTTAAAATAGGTTTTTATTAGAGCTTTATGCAGCTAAAAGTTACTGGAGAGCTACGTTAAAAGCTTCTTTTTAGAAGAGGACTTCCTGTTAAATTGTTTTGTGTGAGCAGTTACACGCATTCTTAATGCATATCATCTTACCTTAAAATTTTCTGAATCCACAGTGCAATTTGATGAGGGAAGACTTAAATATCAGAACCGTTTAACTGTTTTGTGTAACTAATGACAAACTGTTTGAATGGTGTAAACTTGTTTACAATGTTAAATTCAAATTGTTACATATGTTTGAGGTTGTTGATGTTGATACTTATGAGACTGTTACCTGCCCTGAAGAAGTGAGCTGATGGAGCATAACTGTAACATTCATAGAGATTTGTCAGTGAGATGCATTTTCACTACCTATTTAGTTGTAAAAGTCACTTTTAATACAGCTCTGTGACTGTGAAAAGGACTAACTTCTCTCCAGGTTAAAATCTTCAAGGATAAGCTGTAAGGCAGCCTTTGACATTGATGTCATGAACAGTACCAAGGGAGAGGGGAAAAAGAAAGGGGAAAAAAACAAAAAAACAAAAAACTTATGTTGCTTCTCTCCTTTGTATCCATGGGGATTTTTTTTGTTATATTACAATATACAGATTTTCATGTTGTCTGTATATGGCAGCTTGATCACATAAGAAATTACATGCTCTGGCACTAAATTAAAGAATGTTAAATATGACTATGGGTAAGCTTAAGTAGGTTTTGTATTGGAGTTAAAACTTTGTGATGATATAAGTCCTAACCAGGGAAAATGTACCTTTTCCATTTAGGATTAGGAAATTTTATTCTGTTTAAGTAGTTTGGTAAGAGCTGGCTTCATGTTGCAGTGCAGAGTGCAATAAGTAGATGCCTCACTTCAGAGATACTTGCTACCAAATAGTGTAAACTAAGTCTGAAATAGGAAATTATTTTTAGAAAAATTCCATGTCTGAGTGAGAGTCCAGCTTTTTTCCTTTAAGGAGGAGAAAAAAGACTGAGTTTACAGAATATTGAATAGCAGGTGTCTGATGTGTTTTTTCTTCCTTTTGGTTTTCTCCTTTTTCCTTCTGTGAGTTGCCTTTTTTCTTTTTTCTTTTTTTCCTTTTTTTTTTTTTTGTTATAGTAAATTTGCTTAGTTGGTTGTGAATAGGAACTTGTTTTCTTGCTTTTTAAAACTTTTTTTTAAATCTGCAGAGTACTTTGAGGTGTAGTTTTAGCATACCTTTGAAGAGTGAGATGCTTAAATGTGCTTAGAAAGTTTGCTTAACATTGCATAGATGCTCTTCAGTTATGTTGTAAGAAAAAATCACTTAATGACAAGCCTATACATTTCTCTGGACTTTAGTGCAATTCAGTGCAAATAGTCAAAATGTAGAACTATGAAGAAAGTAAGATGTTGTTTTATCTATGATTTGTCTCTTTTAATAAGGTCTCAAGTACAGATCAGTTTTGCATTTAATTTTGGATCGGTTTGAGCCTGAAGCTTTTGACTTTCTATAAACCGAATTGGTGACTGGAACACTGCTATTAATTCTATCCTGTTTAAAAAAATAAAAAAAAAAATTCTGGATTCTGCTGCGCTGCAAAGAAGTGTTTCTACTGCAGTCCTCCATTTTTGTGGTTATTCTTGTTTGTGTTTTGACTATAAAGTCAAAAGAGCCAATTACCTTACTGAGAAATCTTCTGAGGTGTGGACCTGAAAATGGTAAATGCTCTGTGAGACACAGATCGCACTGGGATCTGCTGCAACTGTAGTATTTAACTGATAGACGTATGAGATAACTATGTCTTGTCAGTCACTTCTGAATTGTAGTATCAATCAGATGCATAAAAAATGATTGAAAATCAAGATTGAAATGTACTGCCATTTTCACTAAATCTTTCTCCTAGCTATGTTTATCAAGGAATAGAGGAGAAGAAAATCATGCAAGTCTTATACTGAGTCAGAAAAATGGTATGCTCTTACGGGATTTACTTTGATTATGCAAATAATTTAGAATGCTATCTGAGGGGGGATCTGGCATTTTATTTTTTCTTGAATCTCAAAAAGTTTCTTAAAGCAACTTCACTGTAATAAATTCTTTGAGTTCATGAAATAATGCTGCTTTTTGGAGTCAAGTGTAAGCCTTTGTTTTTTTCTATAATAAAAACATTGAAAAGAGCTTGTTTCCGTTGTTCAGTTTATTCTGTGTTGAGTTTAGATATAACCCATTTTGTAGGAGGCAGTATTTCCTGGGACTTTCCTTCTAAACATACTTTAGACTGAGAATAACTCATTACGGAAGTGTAGTAACTTTTAAGAAGGCAGTTCATCCCTTCTGGTACTCGTCTTCAATATTTTGAAAATACTCTAGATGTTAGAGTTAATAGTTAAATCCTTTAGCAAATTTCCCTACTCTATTTAAAAAAGGCATTTCTGGAAAAAATTTTAAAATAGCAGTTCTTTCACTCAGCATTCCCTCAGATTCCTACAGGGGTTTCTATAGTTAAGAGAACCTAAGGGTGACTTTTTTTAGTATACTTCCTTTTGAAAGAACTTAATTTTAGGTAGTCTTGACTGTTGCACGTTTACAATCTCTTATTGCTTCAGTTATTTGTGTAGGATGTTTTAACAGATACTGTCCACACAGTGGTGCTCACTGCTTAAAGTATGGAATGATTACATTATGATAGATCTGAAGTACTGAAGACATCGCAGAAGTGCTTAATTTTCATGAAATGTTTAGATAAAATGTTTCACATGCTCTCTTTTTGTCCAAAACTAATTTAACCTGTTCCTCTTTTGCCGGCATGTTTGAAGAGAAAGTAATTTTACTTGGAAGGGTTGGATAGTGGAGAGTTCTTCCGATGACAACCAATAGCTCAAGTCAGTGAACAGGGTGCAAAATCAGAACGTACTTCCCCAAAACTTTTGTTAAAATCTCATGAGACTACAGACGTTTTAAGCTGTCTAATACTGCAACAGACTGTTTTCATCTCTTAAATCTTTTGAAGCATAGCAGCTTTCTACTGTTTTCTTCTAACCACTGAATATATTACCAGCAGATTGAAACGTATAGAACTGTTGCATGTTTATTGGTGTAACCAGCGGAGACATTTCTGACGATCTTTTATTGGAACGCTTTGTTGAACCCTTAAGTGGGCAAGGTTTTTATAGTCTGCCTAGTCAGTGTAGGCCTTCCCAAAACAATTTTCATTCTCTGCTTTTTGAAGTTTAAACCTTTTTTTACTTTATTGCTACTGTCCTGTATTTCAATTTACTGAGATACAGCACCACTTTAGCAGGTGATGTGAACAGTCCTGTTGCTGGCAAACTTTGTTCTGCTTATACACCAAAGAGCACAGTAATATTTCCAGTAGTTCAGCAAAGATTGTCTAAAACTATTTTTTATGTGAAGGGCATTTTTGAATGGAATATTGGTGCTTTTAACGATAAAACCTAAAAGATCTGGGAGAACCGTTGACAAGTAGCGAAGGAAAATTTTGAGATTACTCTTGACAGAAGGGACTTACCTTCTAGCTGAATTCTCCCCGGGTTTAGACTGGAGGAGAGAAGATTATTTACATCACTGAATTAAATGTATGATTTGATAGCTCATTTGCGGTGAAAACAGTGTTACTTCTCTGGTGAGTCCTGTTGCTTCACTCTTCTTGCATCAGTTCTGGTACTTGGCAGCTCCTGTTGCTAGGTTTGACATAGCCTTTGGCTGGGTTAATGACTCACCAGACCAGAATGGTGCGTAGTTTTCTGCTGTCTCGAGTTAAGAGTTCACTGAAAGCTCTGTAAGCACTAAGGCTGACACATAAAGGGAATGAAAATGTGTAGGTAGGAGGAATGGGAAAGAAGGGAATGGAGCAGAGCCACCGCTTCTCATAGTTGTGTTTTATACTTTGATATAGCTGAATTAAGCTCCTGCTAACTTTGCAGATAATTGATCTGTTAAGCATAAGTTGTTTGCATTGCCCTTTGAAAGAAATCCTCTGTCTCCATTTACTTGGCAGAAAGTCTTTGGGTGGATAAGTTCACCTGACATAGGATGAGTAGCATTGCTACCCATACTTCTCATACTTATGTACATCCCCATACATGTCATAGTTACAGGTTATACTTTTTTTTTAATTTTTGAATGTAGGCTGTTTCTCAAAGATAATTACCACAGATCACTCACCAGAACATATCTGAATATGCTCCCCTAGACTTAGGGGGATGGGAATCAAATCCTCTGTTTCGTCATTGCTTGCTGCACCACTAATTTAAATGAATGATAACTCTAGAGTATGTTTAAATATCATGTCTGGCAAAGGTGGCAACATGAAGTTCCAATGCTTTTCAAAAATTAGGAATCTAATCAATAATGTGGGATCTGTATTTGCACCTTGATTTTTTTTTTTAACGTAATTGCAACCATCACTGCAATTTCGTTCTTGTTATCTAGGCAGTAAATGTTGACTGTCAGTCCAAAGCAGAAAATGTACTCTTGATAGACTAATAACTTGAAGTGACTCAATTTTAAATGAAAAAAAAAAAAAAAACTTTGTAAGTGGATTAAAACCTTAGATACTAAAGTCAAATTCATTTGTGTACTAAGTTTTTAATAAACTTTTTTTTTCCTTTTAGCGATTAGTTATTTTTAGCCTAGAACCAACTTTAATTTTTAGGTTGTATTATTATTTTTTACAGTACATTTCTCTAAAAAGATTTTTCAGAATATCCTGACAGTACACTATAGGAAAAAAATGAAATGCAAAGTAGTATTTTACATGACCACTGACTAATTCAGTTTCTTTATTTCCTCTTTTTTTTTTTTTTTCCCTGTCTTTTTCAATTTTCCTACCTTTACACATCCAACCACTTCAGCCTTTACCTGGCAATTCTGGTAGGATCACTGACTTCGCTCCCTTATAGGCTGTTGTTTTCACATCTGTGTTAAAAATGATTAGGTAAGACTTGCTAAAAACAGATTCTGCCATCTGTATATATAGAAGATACTATTTAGGATCTGTCAAAATTTCAACGTTCGTATGAGATATTTTTGAAGATTCTTTTTGTCAACAGTACTTCCTTTACAATCTCGGCGTAACTTATCTGTCCCTCAAAGTACCAAACATTATTGCAAAACAGATCACCTGGTAGAGGGGGAGGAATTACAGAGGAAAAAAAGGTAGTCCTGTACTAGACTCCATCTCGAGTAAGGGAAGATAAGTAGATGGTCTGTATAGGAACCTAGAGTTTTTAGGAAAAGGAAATCCCTGCTGGAGTAAGAGATCTCCTTTTATCTAAGGTGGGAGAAAGCTAGTGCTTCTGCCTCCTCAGTCACTACAAAATTTATATTTCTGAATGCTTTCTAGTTTGCAGGAGATGATGGGAGAAATACTTGTTGGCCTAGACAGTCCCTGGCAATGCATTAGTTGTTCCTGAGTCAGAGAAAGACTGATCACCCTCAGCAGAGGATCACTAAATGGCTCCGTGTGAGTTTCAGTAGAGAAAATGGCTATAAATTATGCTGTGTCTTCATGCAAAATTACACTTTATACAAAGAAAAATACTTGAGAATTGAATGAAACTTTGAGATGGCAGTACTTCCCACTTTTTTACTCTTTAAAAATATATATTTTTTGAAACTTGTGCAGAAGGAATGCATACTTTTATTTTTCA